AGCCCCGAATACTAAGCAAACAAACGAAGAGATAGGAGGGGTAGGAATATATCTTGAAGGCTAGTCTGAAGAAACGAAGGCGATTTGGGGGAGTCCGGATAAAAAAGGCCGGACTACGTGCCGGCTGAATAATGCAAGGCCTCACTGCTGACCCCAAGAGACTTTTTTCGTTACTACAGGGACTCCTCAACCCTAAGCCCTAAACCCTGAACCCTAAACCCTGAACCCTAAAACCCTAAACCCTAATCCCTAAACCCTGAAACCCTAAGCCCTAAACCCCGAACCCTAAAACCCTAAGCCCTAAACCCCAACTTTTAGGACCCTCCCTCAAATGTCTCTCACTCACTCCAATCCTTCTGGAAGCAGTGCCTGAGGCCTCCGAGGCAGATTTCCCACTCCTCAGCAAATCCCTTGGAACCCTTGTTTGGGTTTAGGGCTTAGGGTTCATACTGGAGTTTAGGGTTTAAGGTAGGTTTAGCCTGGAGGTTGGAGCTTTCAAGGTTTTAGCGCTTTCCGGGTCTAGTGATGCGTATTATCTCTAGCCCCTGCCTGGAGGAACATCGAACTTAATCATACCTGAAGTTATTAGAAGCCAGCACAGACCTGAGGGAACAACCCTAACCCCTAAACCTACAAGGTCAGTTCGGGAAGTTGTGGTATGAGTACCTGTCTGTATATGTGCAGTTCCCAAAAATGGGGTCCCATTACGGTACCCCTATACATATTAGGGGCCGTAATATAGTCTGTAACCAAAAAAGGGCTGAACAGCCCATATCACTGCGGCCCTACAATCCTTAAGGACTCCCATTTTGCGAGCCACTTTGCGCAAGACAGCTTCAGTAAAGGCTCATAAGGGCTTGGGGTCGTGCAAAAATAGCACTGGAAAGGCCTGTTGATGCTCAGCAGGACATGGCGGCATAAGGGATGGTTCTGGAGGTTGCGTGGGCATTACTATGGCCAAACTAATCATGAAAAGAGGTTTAGGGTGTAAGTTTTGGGGTTTCGGGCTTACCCAGACCCCCAAAAGGATCTAAAAATTAGATCCCCTAGAACCATACGGGGAATTATATAAGGATTATATAGGGGTTATAATGGGTCTATATAGGGGATCTAATTTTTAGATCCTCCCAGGGGTCTGGGTAGGGCTTATGGGAGCAGCTCAACCCTGGCAGGAGTTTGGCCAGAAGGTATTAACAACCGTCGATATGCCCACAGCCCGCAGGAAATATAATCCACATTATAGGATGCTCCACGAAGAGACTGCCTGCTTGTTAGATAACCCCATCTAATTGCAACAGTGTGGTCAGTGGTGCATGTACTCCTCACTGATAAACCTTGAGAATCTGAGTAGGGACACTTTAGGGAGAGCATAAGCGCGTCAGAATTGTGTAAGGCATCAGGTGCTTCATCCGCTATAAAGGTTGGATCATGAAGTGTGCTCATTCGTTAGGACGGCACCTGAGGCGCTGTAGGACACATGCGGGAGCTTCCAAAAATAGCGCCCACTCACATACCACCAATGTACTATGATTGATTCTAGGAGACCCCGACAAAGGGACCGCTAATCATTGTGGGGGAAGCCACATCCATATTCTAATGCCTAAGTTTAAGTCCTTCAGCCCTTAACTATTTCATGTTCATCCAAGTTCTTAAGCTAAAACCATAACAATTCATGTTAAGCTTGTGAACCCTAAGCCTACAATCGCTCACATTGAATGCTTAAGCCCTAAACCCACAACAACTTGGCTCAGGCTTGTGAACCCTAAGCCTCTAACCTCTTAGTTTAAGTCCTTAGGCACTAAGCTCGGGGTGGCTTCCTTTAGGCCCACTCTCTCTAAACCTAGACCTATAAAAGTGTAAGTCTAAATCCTCAAACCCAAAACCAATCAGACCTCAGCATTAGCCCTCTCTCAAACCCTTTTAAAACTCCTAAATCATAAGCTCCGGTAGGAGCATCTTTCCATAGAAGAGAGCACGCCGCGCCTGGTGGCACGTTCCGCAGCGTGCGAAGGCGGCCCGGGAACCTGGACTTCCAAGTAGGTACTGCCATCACCCAAGTAATAATAAGAAGGGGATTTCAATTACGCAACCTCTCAAATTAGGACATAATCAAATGGTAGCTACAGGGTCCTCATGATAGGGATTGGAGTCACTGAAGGCCCCCACTATTAAAGTCAAGATTTGAGGTTTGGAATTCAGGCTTTGGGTTTCATCCCCTAGCTGAAATACTATTCAATATTGATAAGCCTCCAAAGAGTAATAGTGGTATAAAAGGTATAGTTACAATGATCCCTCATGGTCATTATTAATTAGTGGTGTGGGGGGCCTTATCTAAACTACACTTGATGCTAAAAACCCTGCATGACCTTAGTATACTAGGACACCATCATTGCCCAAGTATAGGCTACTTAATATCGTGCAGATTTCAAAGTATCAGCAATACTGCCCCAAATGACTCTTAAAGGACAAAAGTTGGCAAGTATTCCCTAAACCCTAACCCAAAACAGGTCTAGATCTAGGGAGTTGGCGGTTTCAGGTTTTGGCCTAGGTCTTGAGCGTCCTTGCGGAGAACCCCATGAACTTATACAGGACTGTGGGATGTTTGGGGCTCATTTGGGAGCCCCTACAATGCAGATTCTAGCAAATTGCACTCTATGTCGGGGACCCTCATTTAAGGAAACAACCGGCCCCTGAGGACTGCAGCTGAAGTGGTGGTGGTTGTTGTTGTTGTTGTTGTTGTTGGTGGTGGTGGTGGTGGTGGTAGTAGTATAGCATCAGCACCCCTACCGCAATGTGCAGGCCTTCGAGGACCGTGGGGGAGCGGAGCTTGGTCGCTGGGAGCCACCGGACACCTGACCAGCCACAGAATTTAGGGTTAAGGGGATAGGGTTTAAGGCGTAGCTTTAAGAGTTTCTCGGGGGTTAGGGGTTGCAAGGGTTTAGGGGCTCAGGGGCCAGGAGACTATCATGCAAGCCCACTCTCATGCTCGGGGCTCGGGGTGTCGAATGTTCTTGATTCTCTTAGTGCTACCAGGGATCCAACAATCGGACAGAGTTGCATGAATACAGGGCGAAGGGTGGTGAATCCTCCAACTAGAGAAAGATTCATGGGAAGGACCCCTGTGACAGAGAGATGGCCCTGGGAAGTCTACTAGGGCTAGCTACGGGCATACAATACTTGCCGTGGACCCTGAGACAACCAGGGTTTACTAATCGGACATCTACATCATCCTGTTTTCAAGACTGTCATGCACATGTTTCGTGAGATCAGAATTGAATCGGTGGTTGGGTGGCCGCTTGCCCTTGGCCTCAAGATACATTGTACCATGACCTGTTTTTCAGGTCTGTTCTATGTTACCACAAGAAAAACTGCTAATCAAGCCCTGGAGGCACCGAACAATCCTGAATGCATGCATGAAAGTGAACCCCCTTCCCCTGCAAGCATCCTGTAGAAAGCCCAGTGATCTCCTGGAATCCTTCTAGAACCCCCTTCCCCTTACACAACTCCTGTTAATGGCTACAGTATATGACTCCTAGGAAACCTCAAGCAGACCCCAAACCTAGCCTTAGAACCCTGAACCCTAGACCCTGGACTCTGAGCCCTAGACTGCAAAGCCTAATACCTAGACTGCAACTCTATAAGCTCTAAAAGGCTCTCAACGCCTCGCCCCCTAAACCTTGGACCCGAGACGGGAGCTGGCGCTACTCTCCAAACCCCAACCACAAACGCTACACCCAAAAAGCTAGCTCAGCCCTATTCTTCAAACCCTGAACACTACTTGGAGGTTTGTGGTTATGTATAACATGCTGATTGCGACGCTTCCACCTAGATCTGCACGTGTGCCCCAATTATGACCCAATTGGTAGACAGTTGGGGCCATGGGGGGTTATCGGTTATCATTAGATTGTTCGTACACTTCTAAGTAAGTTGTATGTACTAAGCCGCTTATCCCTGTGTATCCATGTGAGCTCTCAGTGTCCACATCAATTTCTCGGCAGTTCCCCTTTGATTCACCAGTGTGGTAACTTAACGCTAACCCTCAGCCCCAAAGCCAAGGAAGTAGTGGCAAACGTCCTTTGTAGCTATAAATTGCCCAAAACCCTATATAACCCAATTATGGTAGCTTCCATTTTGTTTTCCATTATCCCCAATATATACCCTGTCATGCGACAGTAGTTTCCATTGTCTCTTCCATTATATTGCCCCTAAACCCTAAACCCTCAAGCCGCATATAGACTTACCATTAATTCGGGTCCCCAAGTTTCCGTAATTTCTAAACATGTAAAATCAAAATGACCACCCCAAACACTAAGTAATGTTCATAAACCCTAAACCCTACACCCTAAACCTTAAACCCTAAACCCCCTAAACCCCAATTGGCGCGGCTGGTGCCTCCTGCCCATCTGCAGTCCCTGGCTGTGCTGCATCCTGCGTCCGGCGCTGGGCGATGCCCTGAGTCTCCTTGTCTGACTTAGGCTTTGGGGTTTAGGGTGTTAGGGTTCTAGGTCTGGGATTCCAGGCTTACATGGTTTGGGGTTTGTTTAGGGCTTGGTGTTTCAGGTTCAGGTTTGGGCTTCGACAAGCCAGTGTGAGACAAAGGCCTTAAAGAGTTGTAGCATAGAATTTTTTTGCTGGGGGGCTTACGCTGCTTTGTTCTCTCTCCCTGTCCAGGGTTAGGAAGATACTGATGATCGATTGATGGTCCCTATATGAACGGAAAGGAGTGTACCTATGTACCATAATACGTATCCATATGTAGTCCTACGTCGATCAAACACCACATTCCCACACACCTAACATGAAAGCCCTCAGCCAAGGATTTCGTGCAACATCTTTCGGGCCCTAGATGTTCGAAAAAAACTGAGCGTCTATCTTTGGGAACCCATGATTAATGCTGTAGTATTTGCGGCTTTTGGATGAATACCTTAAAATTGAAAATGCCCATTTTATGGCACATGCAATGAACCCGTGTAAGTCACTTCTGGAAATGTCCAGGTCTCGAAGTATGGCCGGTTTGACTCGAATGGCGACCTCAGACATTTCTGAGTTGCGATCGTATCACGCACAGGCCTAATTTACAGGAATAGAGGTTTGGGGCATACCATGCTACGATTGCACAAGGGTAAGTGACATAGAAAACACCAAGTAGTCAGGCTTCTACACTATGCTTGGAAAGCACGGTGCCTCCCCCAAAATTCAAACCTTTCCTTGCGAGAACAGATGAGCAATTGCATGAAACCCTGGCTTGTTGACTGGCATGGTCCAATCCTTGAATCTTCAACTGCATGGATCCGACGGCTCAAGAACTCATGTCCGTCGGCCTCAATAGCCATACATTTAAAGCTTGAGCCAAAAAGCCCTTCTGCCTCGACCCCAACTGGGTTCCCTAGCCACCATCCTATATTCCTGTCGTAGGCTCCCCTGCAAGTAACCTAACCTCAATAGGCCCTAAGTATCTTTGAATTGCCTTACCTTACGGCTGCACTTGGCCCTGAATTCTGATCCCCAAACCGTAATCCAAAACCCACAAATTCCAAACCCTAAATCCGAAACACTAAACCCTAAATCTTTAACCCTAAATCCCAAGCCCTAATCCCTTAGGCCCTAATCCCCAAACCCTGAAGGGCTGCTGAGCAACTTCATCCACTGAGGTGCGCCAACAGAAACGATACTGAGGTTCCTTGGGATGCTCGGCCCCAGAGAAAGAGAAAGATAGAGGTACATAACATATACATACATATATTTTTGGGTGGTTGTCAAAATTATGGTCCCTTTTTGGGAACCATAAATATTAGGTGCCTATTAATAGGGATCCAAAAAGAGACCATAATCTTCACAACCACCCATGTATGTCACATACATGTGTATGAAAAATGTACCTAACACACCCATGTATATTTGTTGCATATCACATATTTACCCTGCTTGCCTATATGTATGTATATATATATATGCGCATGGGGGATACGTGGGCTTTGGGGCGTAGAATGGCAAAGCAGACCTCTAGGATTCCCACAAACCTAATTAGGGCCACTAATTTGCCTACGAATGGAGGATCAAATGGAACAAACATGGAAAACTGCGTGAAGACTGGATTTCTACAGTGGCTTGTATGGATTGCGGTTGAACAGAATTAGACTTTTTTTTTGTGGCGGATAGACAGATTCTAGCATAGGGGGGTATGTATGGGGTCCCGGTATCTGTAGAAACTACCAACTGGCGACTTCTCAGCAAGTAGGGTACTCTTACAAGCCCCAGCACCACAGGACACCCCGTGGCACCCTCTTTCTCAACGTGGAACGGATTTTGGTGACTCCAAACTGAGTATTATGTAGGGTTTGCATCCTTCAACCCTAAACCCTAAGCTCTGATAACATAGGGCTTTGGTTCTGTCGGTAGGAGTAATCCAAATCCTCTGACACTACTACTTACTGGCGAGTAGAGAATACAGAAATATAATCCCTATTCTCCCTTCTTCCCTCCCAACCCCCAGTAAGGCTAGTGTTGCGCAAGGCAGACCCAGAGCTTCGACCTAACCCCACAAAAATGGGGAACATGACGGAAACACAGATACTTTCCGAGTTCCCCCGGTGAAGGTTTAGTGTTTATAGGGTTTCGGGGCCTGGGTATCGGGTTTGGGGTTTAGGGACACGGAGGGGGTCCGTATCAATGGCCCTGCCGGTGAGCAGGCCGAACGACTTCACATTAACAGCTGTGCAGCAAAGCAGAACAAAGTCGAACGTAATATCCCCAAGGAGTCTTGTTGGCTACCGGGACCTTGATAGAGCCCCTCACAATGGAGACGCCCTAAATCTTAAACCGCAGCAGGCTGATTCAGGGAAATGCCCGAAGTCATTTCAAGCCGAGGCTCTGGATCTTTCCCTCCTGTCAAGAGTAAGCTGAAGCTCTAGCAAGCATCATCCGCCTTTGCACCCATTACTCCGTTCATATCAGGATGGTTCGGAACTTTCCTGCGTGTAAAACATCATGGTATTGGATGGAGGAAGCTGGAGTGCGTCTTCCTTCGGCTACTGGCCCAAACACAACCATGTGGATAGAGAACTGCGGCCAATGCATGATGGCATGATGCATGCCAGTTGATGCAATGACCCCTTTGCAGACAAGCATGCTGTCTATATGTAGGCAGAGCAGCTAAGTGCCAGCCCGTTTCACCTCAGTAGCATACTGCATAAATGAGACCGTCATACAGAGGGTTAGCCGTGCAGTGTACGCTAAGAGGTGTACCTCAGCCCTTCATCCCTAAAACTCAAATCCTCAACTCAGCCCCAGACCCTCACACCTTGGACCCCCAACCCAAACCCTCACACACGAAACCCGGAAACGTCCTGAAACCCCAGATCTACCCTTCAATACTTGAACGCCAAAGCTGTCCTCGTTCTTAACCTGCTTGAAGACCTGGGAATTTCTCAAGAAGGAGGGCTTGTTCAAGGGGATCCTTAAAAAATGAAAATGAAAGGTGTCAAAGGGGTTTTCAGCTTAGGGACACTTTAAAGCGGATATAAGGACGAAAAGGGTTCAGGATTTCCTCCTCCCGTCAGCGTTTCAGGTTGACAGTTTCAGGGGAGGGGGGGTTGGGGTCGGGTTCGGATCCTTACACTCAAAGCCCTGAACCCCAAGCAAGGATTCGGACTTTGGCCAGTACTTCTTCGCTTTCGCCATACTTGCAAACTCCTCACTGGCCTCCCATAGGTTGCCACGATAAGACGTTGAATAATGACCCCATTCATGCGAGGTTTCTCAATCCCCTGAACCTCAGAGTAGACTAATTTTGACAAGCATCCACCCAAAGTTGATACCAAAAACCCTTACACTCTCAACCCAAATCCTGAGCCTTTCAACCATAAGCCCATAGCCCTAAACCCGAACCCGCCTGCTTCGGTCTCTCTGGCACTCTGCGACCCGCCACGAAGTGGTTCTCGTGCTCCTATGAGGCTCATGATCAAAAGCTCTCAAAATGGAGGCTTGGTTTAGGGTTTAGACACGCGCATCGCACAGGGCAGGCACGGCCAGTTCTTTGGTTTAGGGTTCAGGGTTTAGGGTTTAGGGTTCAGGTCAATTCCAGGAGGAGGTCTTCCAACGAGAGGAGTACATCTGAGGTATGGAAAGTTATATCAAAAGTCCATCTTATATACAGCTTATACAAGATACCCGCATGGTAGCTCCTCTCCTGTAACTGCCTGAGAAAGGTGTAGCGGGTGAAGCTCCCCAAACCCTAAAACCCTTCAGGTTCAGCGCTGCTGTAACAGTGGCTGAGGGCCTAGGGTGTAGGGGTAGCCTTGGGGGTTTAGGATTTTGGAACGTGAATACGGACCAATAATGCAAAATCAAATGGAAGAGAAATGCAGTCGAAACTGCGTGTAGATAGGGGTTTTGTGAAGTACCTGGGACCTAGGGACCTAGAGCCATGAATACATAATCATTACAAAAAATGGAGCCTCGTTTAATGTACCTTATACCATATGTATACACAGGTTTTAGGGGCCATTACTTGAGAATTATTTAGGGCTTTAGGCCTTTACATTACACGGACTTTTGGTCTATGTACTATATGAAGGGAAAGTCACTTTTGACTTTTGCCTTTGTAGGGTCCTTCAATCAACTGTTGTAATCCCATGACCCTTATACTAAGCTCCAGGTGATTAACTGCCCATTGAGGCTTCGGGGTTCAAGGATTTAACCCTTCCCTGAGAATCCCCAATAATAACCCCGCGCCCCATATAGATCCATTACTAGTATGGGAATATGCATCATCGGGAAGTCTAATCAGGAGGACGGTTGGAGTTCAGGAGGCGGGGCGATTACTAAGTCAGCCAGCTCTTCATGAAGTCTACTTTGATCAGCAGGAACTAGGCCAGCGGCATTGCCCCTCGCATGGCAGGAACCCAAGGGACAGGGAGGCTAGTAAAGTGGGGGAGGGGTAAGCCAGCGAGCGTTGAAAGGGTCTACAATCCCTCCCCCCGCTCCTAATCACCCTCATAAGACACATTCCGAAATGGAACCATGCTGTGACATGGGAAATACCTTTGGTTGGGGCAGGGAAAGGGTTCCCCTACAGTTCCGCTCGATTCAAGCAGAGGTGTTTTCTTTGATCTTCCAGTTTAAATTAAATGTCCACATCATTTCGAGAGGTCTATTTGAAGTACCCGCTACAGGCCCCTTTACCAAGATCAGGAATCTAAGCCCTTAATGCCACAATGTTGGAAACAGTTAAAGCCCCCTGGCCACTATATCTTACAGATGTCTAAGGGCAGGAAGGTGTGAACCCGTCTGACTTTGTGCACGCAACGCTTACATCTATCGCCCTCCCCCACCCCCAGACCTAAAAGGTTGCCTGGGAGGACATGGACCGCAGTTTTTGGGCCACGCCCTGCTTCTCGAAAAAAGTACCTGATTGAATGGCATTCAGTTGCTTTTTGTTGCTAGGCATGTATTATTGTACGAAAAACTTGTGTTATGTATAGTCGTATAATGGGAATAAGAAGGGACCATCGTGTACTACGTGCTCAGAACTTGGGTTTAGAGTTTACGGCTCAATTGCACGTACCTTCAAGCTAACCGAATAGAAGCTTCCGACACAAGGGCATCCCTGAACGGTAAACATCAGTAAATCCTTGATTCATACCGACATTAAACACCACCCTGGTTCAGGATAAATCATGCCCCCAAATATTTGAAGCCGTTTATGGGGAACATGTTAGTCTTAGCGCGTTTAATATTTGTATGAAGGGATTTGTCTTGATAGGGCCCTCTTGAAATTCCATGAGCCATAGTCTAAACTCCTAGTAACCCCCCTTAATAACCCTTTAATACCCCCAATGTAATCCCTTACATAACCTGCCTTGAGAGACTATAGACCATAGTGCATGTTAGATTGGAATAAGAGGAGATTCGGCCCCCTACCCCACCCACAGCTCCAATGAGCAGTGCGTTCCAGGCGGAACGAGAAAGAATCCCTCAGGGGCCTCACGGAAAGCCTGAATGTTCCCCCCCCACACCGCGCCCCCCAATCCCCCCGCACTACTACACACAATCTTCCCCATTTTTCGGCAGAAAACGAGGAACACGATAAACCTTCCTGTTCAGAAGCAAGTCTTTCAGTATGAGCACGGAGGGTCACCAATACGACACGCAGTTGTTGGCATGAAGGTTCGGCATGAATGGATCCTGTAGTCTTCGCCCTGACCAGGATCCTACGCTCCTGGTACAGGCTGAGTTTCCATTGCATTATCGATTCCCTTGTCCATTTGAATACCATTGCTGCGGTAACATAACTAAACCCCAAACCTTCATACCTGAAGCCTTCCTCTCTTTGTTGCAATGCATCTTTGTCAGCGACTAGCGGTCCGGTCGCACTCACATCCAGAAAGGCGCGTCGTCGCGACAGGCACGGGTTCTATGAACACGCGGGCCAAGGTTCGAAGAATAAAAGAGCAATCTGAATAATACAAGAACCTATTGAATTAGAATAGGGTTCTGGGGTGAGCGGACAAAAGTCAGGTCACCGAAGGTGAAACAAGTGAGATTCGTCCTCATTTACGAGCAATATGACATGAACGCGTGCTTCTGTGATACCAGCGAGGAGATCTTGCAGATCGTTTTGCATATCAACACATTGTTGCCGCCGTTGTAATATAGTCGCTTCCGCGACATCACAAGCTTGACGCTGAAGTGTTCTGGGTTCCACTGAATATCGCATCAACTTATTGCAGAAGTTGCACCTCTCCTGTGAGGACCAGATAGGCACGTCAAGATGGGTGCGAGCGGGATTGCAGAGAAGCTGCATCTAAGGAACATTTTCTAGTACCTGCTGATACTTTTGAATCCGGGAGGCAGCAACTTTGATTTTTCTTAGGCCCCGGACGTCCCTTTTGACAGTCCCTAAGATTTGCGGGCTGCATCTCTTTCCAATAAGCTGGAGTTGAGTAATGCAAGTGGCATCATAAACCGGAGAGATGGGGTTGCATCTACACTGAAATACTTGTTCCATCCAAGGAGGCGGAGGGGTTTTAGCTGATTCGGGGGACAATCCAATCTTTATCAAGAGGACTAGATTGCAAGAAGTGTTGGCTACCTATGAATAGGGTATTCTACTGTGATTATATAGGAGGTATACAGAGATAATATCGGTAATCATTTAAGCGTGTGCCGCATCTTGGGCCGCGAAACTGCAAAAAACAGAGCCCTGTCAGTGTGAGCAGTGTTCATTAAATATCATGGGTTCTGCTACTACCCCCTCTATCCTACACCCCCTTAATTCAGGTTGCTTTGGAATAATTAGGCTTTTTAACGGTGAATTGAGGGGGACTTAGGGGGGGCGTAGTATACAGGGGGGTAATCGGCGAACCCATTAAAACAGCAAAGGAAAGCCAGCCTTATTCTCTTCAGTTTGCCTCAACACCGTTACAACCGGAGCTACCAGCTTCTTTTCCAGCAGCCGCGGCAAGAGACATGGAACTCATGTCCAGCTTTCCCTAAACTCTAAACCCATATCCACCACCCAGACCTTGAACTAAAGCCCCGAACATGAAACCATTTATGCAGCTTATGCATCAAAGCTGCGATTGCTTTCAAAGGGCTGCTTCATCCAATGCGGGCTCTCTACGGAGACAATGGAGTAGTTTGCAACCTCCATAGTTTAGCCGGGGATCTCCAGTAATGCGGAACTTGTACCACGACTATAACCTAGTTTTATACGAAGCCTCGGACAGAACAAGTGGGTAACAAAAAACATGCTTGAGCTCACGCTTGTCTGAAGACAAACCTTCTTTACGACAAATGGGACCAATGGCGGCTTTTCGGAAGTGCCAAATATTCTCATTCGAAACTTTGCTTGATCCTCCGACGGAATACCCTCCCGGACTATTCAACCCTCCCCCCCACCACCCTAGTAACATGTTTTTGTTCCATCCCGGTATAGGGAATGTTTGATATTACAGTGGCGGGGGTCAGTAGGGTGGCGTGGGGGGTGCTCATACTAAGGGGAAAAATCATTCAGCATAACGATCGCCTATACCCCCAAACTAACGAATATGGGTAGTAGACATAAAATACAACCATTCAGGAAATGTCTATGTACGTAGATCCTTGACCATAACCCTAAACCCTAAAACCTAAACCCTAAACCCTAAAACCTACACCCTAAACCCCAGGACCGAGGTTGCCTTCCCGGTGCCTGCATCTATGACTGTGCCTTTTTTGCTCTTCCTGTCCTGTCAGTGGGTCTGGATCTGCAGGGTCTTAAACCCCTAACCCAAAACTCTAAGCCCTAAAAGCTCAAAACAATAAACCAAACTGGCAACGTTGCCTACGTATAGCAACTCCTGCAAAAAATGATGTTTTGGAATCCCCCCCCTCCCGCAGCATATAGCAATCACAGCTTGATGATGATGATTATGGTGATGATGATGATGATGTTGATGATAGCAGGCAGTAATGATGACAGTGTTAATGATGATGGGGAGCGTGACCTCAATGCTTGCGATTGCGATCGTCGTGGCAACGAGGAACTATGATAGTCTCACCTTTGCTTGCCCTAAAGCTGCCTTAGAAGACTCAGGAGAATCGGGTCCTTCAGCTTGTCTCCTGCTGAAATCTTGCCATCGTCGAAATAAGTCTTTCGAGCAGAATTCGGTTGTGAACGTGCAGTCTCCTCCAGAAGAACAAGCTCAAGGAGAGTGTGCTGCACTCTGGGGGGTGGAGGGGGGGGCATGCAATGAAGACAACCTTTTGGGTGTTTAACAAATCATTTTTCATTGACATTATAGAGCACTTGATATGCTAACTTCCAAAAAACATATCTTTTTCATTTACAATCCCAGTTTTCATGTCATCTTCGACTTTCTTTCAATGTAGTTTCTCGTATTTTGGGGAAATACCTCAAAATCCTGAACCCTGTTCCCTGAATTCTAAGCTTTGTTTGGAGCCGAGGTACGCAGAATAGCAGTTAGACCCAGCAGAAACTGCTTAGACACGATCCAGTCCTAAAACCGAAATCCTAACCCTAAACCCTTTTTTGAACCCAGATTCTGCGCCAGGATCAAACCCCTAAACCCTGAATCCTAAACCCTAAACCCTAAATCCTAAACCCTAAATCCTAAATCTCAAACCGCGAAGCAGGGGGCTCCTCAAATGCCTGGCGATGCTCTAATCCAGAATCGAAAGGAAAGTCTGGCCTCAATTGCACTCAGGCTTGAGGTTGGATACTGCCCCCCCCAGTAACAGTCTATATAAGAGGTCCTATTAAGGGCTATATGTATTATATAACCATATTATATCTATTATCCAACTGTTACTGAGGGGGGGCAGTACCCAAGGTTTAGGGTTTACGGCTATAGGTTTAGTTTGTGGGCTTCTAGGGTCTATTGGGTCTAGGGTTCTGGGCTTCATGCAGTCAGGATTTAGGATTCTGGAATTTCAGGGTTCTAGAGTTCAAGGCTTAGGCTTCAGAGTTTAGGCTTTTAGGATTGATGCTGTTTAGGGCCTTAAAGCCTTTTGCAACAGGCTTGTCAGGTTTCCACCTGGAAGAGGCGCTGGCCTAAGATCCCAGCACTCATGGCTAAGGCCAAGAAGTGCTCAAAACTTAAGGCCCTAAACACTCAACCCTAAACCTAGGATCTTTCGTGGCCAGGGCGACAGGTTGTAGAGGGCTCTTGTTTGGTGTCTGAGGTTGGAAACCGCAGGTCCTGGTATGGGCCCCTAGCTTGTTTTGGGGGTTTCTATGGTAGGCATATAAAGACCTTGGAGGACACCAAGCCAGCAGTGATTGATGAGAAGCGTCTGCCTCAAATCCCCACATGCTTCCTATCATCCATCGCCAGCTGGTTCTGGGTCTATAGGGCTCTTTGCGGTTCGAAGCCCCAAGAGACCCTCGTGGTGGATACACTGCGTTTATGCCTGGCTCGAACCTACATAGACCATTTCCAACTTCTTTTTAAGCTCAGCCAAGCTTTCCCCATGATCTCGAAAACCCCTTACCATAATGCCACCCGAATCATAAAACCACCCAACCTCCTCATTATGAACATTGCCATCTCATTGTGATATGGTAAATTGAGCGAATCATCGCTTTTTTTTTTGTATTTTCGCTATTCCGGCTAAGTTCTCGCGAGGCCTGCCCTGCCTTGAAAAAACAACTGCTTGGCGTCAAGGTGCGACTGCTGGCTGCTGTAGTTGACGCAGCCAGTCCTTGAGCTGCTGCTGACGACATGTATGCCACTCATGTGAATAGTTTTTTTGGCAGTCCGAATAAAACTTTGCTGTTAGCATTATCTTTTGAAGGTGGTGCCGTAGCTTATGCCGTTAGCATTGTCAGTTGAAGGTGGTTCCGTTGCTTCCTCCGTTACGATGAAAAAACAGTCGTCGCAACGTTTCTCATGATGTAGATCTGTCAGAACTAGATGTCACTGACTGTCAAAGCCACGGCTACGAACATGTCCCTGTTTCATAGCATTGGGTTTCTGCTTAGGTTACGTCGCCACCACCAAGGAATAGCGCGCCCAGGTCATAATAGTTCGTATATTCACTTTCCCTAAATAGTGGAACCCCAATATAGACACAATATACTATAGTCCTTGTTTTAAGGATTCCCGAAAGGATGCCCCTAATTTTGGGAACCCCAATATTGCCATCATAGCATAGCACTTTTGCTTGGCGGTGGCCTTGCCCAACGCCCACCGCTATGCCCCCGTATAGCTTCTATGCCTGTATCCTCAGAACTTAAAGAAAGAGACCAGTGGTTTTGTTCAGTGCTTTCTATCAGACCTTTTCTCCGCAGATTAGATCCCTGGCGATGCCTGCTTGGCAAGGGGTTATGGCGTGGTAACGAAAAAGAAAATGGAAACTACTACATGGTAGTTTCCCAAGATAGGTGGACCCCAATATAGACCCCAAAATACTATAGTCCTTATTATTGGGACCCCAAAATGGTACCCCAAATTTTGGGAAACACCCATATATGATTTGACGGTCTAGGATTTAGGCCAAAGTGTTGTAACTTAGCCCCCCATTTCCCACAGAAGACAACCGGCTCCTTCTGGTCAGTACAGCTCGCTGATTATGTCTGTAGTTCAACTAAGACTCTTAAAAGGGGGATATATGGGTTATAGAAGGATATTGTAGGGACATTCTGGGGAGATTGTACGGATGTATAGAGTTTAGGGCGAAGGGTTTCGTATTCGAACAATGGGTTGCTGTTAAGGAACTTAAATGCAGTTACGACAATGGGTATAGATGGTAATTAATATGGTTCCCCCAATGCAGCAACTTAATTTAAGTTCCTTAACAACAACCCGGCATTCGAACAAGGTCGAGGGAACCCAAACTGGGTAATGGAGGAATGGATTTACAAAGTAGTTTCCAGTTTCTTGTCCACCCCTAAACCCCTAAACCCCAAACCCCTAAACCCCCAACCCGCAACCCCTAACCCCTAAACCCCTAAACCGTGTGGCTCAAAAGCCGGAACTTTGACGGGGATTCCTTAGGAGGATCCGCCTCCCTGTAATAGTGACTATAAGGGATAATAAGGTTTATATTCGCGGTTAAGGTTTAGGGTTTAGGGTTTAGGGTGTAGGGTTTAGGGGTTTAGGGTTTAGGATTCCTATTATACCACTATTACAGGGTGGGGGGTCCTCCTAAGGGATTCCCCTGTAAGAAACCCCATCCTGCTACCGGCCTTTGGTTAACTGGGAATGGA